ATATATATATATATATATATATATATATATATATATATATATATATATATATATATATATATATATATATATATATATATATATATATATATATATATATATATATATATATATATATATATATAATAGATTTGAAGATTTGTAATTCAGGCATTTTATTAAATTATAATTTTTACAAAATTATACAGTGTTCTCCGGATTGTAATTATTTGTTTTGAGCTTTCGACTCGGTACTTCGAGCCTTCATCAGAAAGATTGATCATTTGAATTTTCGCGCTGTTGTTGACGTTGTTGAAGTCTGTGGGAACGTCTGATTGGTTGATGGATTTCAATATGTTGGTTGCCATTAGTTACTATCGAATGCGGGTGATTATTGTTATCATGAGACGGTGTAGGGAAGGAAGTTGAGGGTGGGTTAAAGGTTAATGAAGATGAATTAGGAGATTTGTGAGAGCGTTTCAGTTGTAAGTAAATTGTAGGGTTGTCAATGTGACGGTTAAATGTTTGTTTGTCTAAACTATGCCACGCTTCTTTAAACTCACGGGCATGTTTAGTAGTTGCTTGTCCTAGGCATCTCGTTTGAGACCAGTCGAATGTGTGTCCGTTGTCGTCTGTGTGTTTAGCTGGAAGTGAGCTATGGTCGTGTCTGTTGATTGCGTTCTGGTGTTCTGTTAGTCTTGTCTGAATCTTTTTAGAAGTTTGTCCAATGTACTTATCCGGAAAGTTTTTGCACGGGGAGATATAAATGGCGTTATGTTTATCCGTTATATGTGTCTTGTCTTTGTGTTTAGTGAAGTTGGACCTAAGTTTGCATGTTGGTTTGTGTGCAACGTCAATGTTGAAAGGTTGGAGGAGTCTAGCTGCCATTTCTGATGTAGTGTGTATGTAAGGAAGTGTAATCCTCGTTTTTGTTTGGTTAAGTCGGTCCGTGTTAGTTTGTTGTTTATGTTGTAGCACCTTATTAATGAAGTCTAAAGGGTAGTCACTTTTGTAAAAAGTAGAGTATAAATACTTGCGTTCGTCTTGTTTGGATTGATCAGTGTTACAATGTGTGTCAATTCTGTTGAATAGAGTCTTTATGCAATTGACTTTATGTTGTGTTGGGTGATTGCTATTGTAATTTAAAATTTGATCAGTGTGTGTTTTCTTGCGATAAACTTGTGTGGTTAAAGTGCCGTTTTCTGTTTTTGTTATTAGGACGCAGGGGCGGATCTAGGATTTTTCGTACCTCAGTCAAAATTTTTTGGTGGACGGGGCGTTATCGGCGCTGGGCGTGGTCTCAACTGGGCGTGGTCGACTCCAGACGGGGGGAGTGGGCGCTAAATGCTGATAGTCCGCCACTGGATTTTTAGAATTTTCCCTACATAAAATGCGATTTGGTCCCCCCCCCCACACCTATTAACCTAAATCCTAATT